AAAGCCGAGTATGAAGCACAGATAGCCGAGCTCCTCTTAGCCAACGGGATCGACTATGAAGAGAATCAAATCGTTTTCCAAGATCCTCTTAGCCAACAAAGCCAAGTATGAAGAGAATCAAAGCATTTTTCGATTCACAGTTCGTCGCAAACCAGTTTAGCGACGACTACGACGCACGAGATGACCGCATGGACGCCTATCTTTAGGTCGTCAAGAAATTTGCTGAGAAATTCGACAAATTAAAAAAAAAAACAAAAATACCACGGAGCGACAATACTCTAGCGTCATGCACCAATGATTCACGTCCCGATTGAGCTATTATCAACGACCGCAGCAGCATACCAATTCATGCGATGGGTAATGGCTATTGTCGGACTCTTACCGCGCTCAAGACAGAAACGATTCATGTTGATCGTCACAGACTATTTCACCAAATGGGTCAAGCAGAATCTTATGCCAATATACATGCCATCGACGTACATAAATTTGTCTGGAAGAATATCATCTGCCGGCACGGTCTGTCATACGAGATCGTAACGAACAATAACCCCTAGTTCATATCGAACATCTTCGAAGGGTTCTGTACGAAATGGAAAATCTGCCTAAGCAGATCTACACCACGATATCCGCAGGATAACAGACAAACCAAGGCGACCAACAAGACAATTCTTGACGGTCTGAAAAAATGACTAGAGACAAAGAAAAGACTCTGGGCCGACGAACTAGACGGAGTTTTTTGGTCACACCGAACTACCCCGCGCCGGTACACACAAAAAACTCCTTTCTCTTTGTCGTATGGAGTAGAAGCACTCGCACCCGCCAAGGTCGGTATACCGAACGTAAAGAGAACTATGTGACACATCGAACCAAGCTGAACAACAAAAAGCTAGAAGACAACCTAGACCTATTGGAAGAGGACCGAGATCAAGCTCTCCTCGGGATTCAGGACTACCAACAACAGGTTGCTCGATACTATAACCGAAAGGTTAAAGACAGGTTCCTTGAGAAAGGTAACCTAGTACTTCGAAAAGTTTTCGACGGGACGAAGGAACCGAACGCCGTAAAACTCGGTAAAAACTGGGAAGGCCTCTATCAAGTCACAAAGGTAGTAAAACCCAGAGTATACGAGCTAACCACTCCCCCGATCATGAAACTCAATGAACCTGAAACGTTATTAATATTAGCCGAGCTACAAGTCACAAAGGGCGCTCGCCGAGCTACACTCATCCAAGCTACTTGTAATATGTGAACTACGATCTGCTTGATCCCTACTTAAGGGTACGTAGGCATCCTCTACCAATGTGCAGCTATAAATAAATTTTTGTTCTTTTCAAAGAAAAATTGCTCTGAATACTTTTTCTCTTATGTTGCGTCTATGACATCGGCATCCTAGCTAGATATACAACCCGTTTACAAACTATCACCTTTAAGCAACAAGGGAAAAACCCTTGCCGAATAGAGAATGTAAGCCGGGGCCAATCCTGCACTTTTATTTTAGATCGACTGAATAAAAACGCCGAGCATATCCTCGCTTATTCATAACCTATCTAACACTAACAGGTTCACTAAGCTCACCTCGCACCTACTAGTACTAGTAAAGCCAAGCCCAGTTTCGCAAGCTAACGAGATAAGCCGAACTCAAGACTCGCACTCAATAAAAACCAATCTAGGACTTGCAACATATTCAAAGGAAATAACATAGTTTTCGAACAGAAAATCACCGATCCAAAATAAAAAGGAAACCACTAAATGCATTTTTTTAAAAAGGGGTCGTTACAAAAGTCATTACATCAAATGTGAACTGCCGAAAGAGAAACGGCAAAAAGAGCAAAAGAAAAGTCGGAGAAAGGTACTCGTCGACAACCGGAGAGGCTTCGGTTTCTTGATCATTTGAACTCTGACCTAGATCAAGACCGGCACCGGGTGTTGGTGGGCATTACCGCGAGCTCTCGCGAGTTTCCTCATTATCAACCGACAAGTCATCAACGAGCGGAGAGTTGACAGGAACCGGGACCGCGAACAGATCACCATCTTTGAGGTCGGCAGCAGTTATAGAATCGAACTACTTCTCGTATTTCTCCATTGAAGCCTTCAGTTTGGCCACCATTTCAGCCTTCATTATGGTCTCATCGTTGTCCATAATGGCGAGGCAATCAGTCTTCCCTTTCGCTTGGTTATACTCCAAACGAACTTTTTCAATGGCTCGCCGATCCTCCAAATACCTCTGAAAGCGCTCGAGGCAAGCAGCGTATAGAGTGTTCAACTCCTCCAATGTCTTCTTTCTCTCCAGTCAAGCAGCTTCAGTGACCGAGCTCTCGAGCCTTCAGGCTTTTCCCGTAAGCTTTTCTTCCAGGACGACTTTTTCGGCAACGATCTACTTCTCAGCCTCGATGGCTCTAAGTGTCTTGGTCATGTCAAGGACGCTCTTCTCGAGTCTCTCTGTCTTCTTACGTTCCTTAGCCAGCTTCTTCAGAGCTTATCACGTTCTTCGCCGACCTCATCGATGGACCGAACAGCCGACTTCACCTTCCGGTTGAGTCTCCCCCGAAGACGATTGCACAAAACGATAAACTGAAACATAAAATATTAGGATCACAGATCATAGAAAAAAAGACGGACTAAATGTAACGATCTATATATTCATAGTGTTGGAAGCCAAATCCTTGAAGATCTCACTATCCACCTGGTCGTCCGAGTCGCAAACCTCACAAATCGAACCCCAGATCTTAGAAAACAGCTCGGCACACCGATCATGATTATTGACGAATGACAAATCTTTCTCGTCATATTTGAAGGAAAATCGATTATCGATTTTTAGAAACTACTTAATTGCGATAGTTATGATTGTTAATTATAATTTATATACAAGATTTGTTAAAATTTTAAAATTTAACTTTATTCCAAAGAATTTTTTTTAAAATTATAGGTGGAAAGTAAATTTTCTTTATAAATTTATGATAAATTATTAATTTATAAATAAATTAGTATCACGATAAATTAATAAAATATCATGATCCCGACATTATTAATTTATAGAGGTTTTACTGTATCTCCACGTTATTACCGATCTGTTACGTCCACCGACCTACCTCAATCTAGTCATCGATTCAAACCGCTAACTGATCTATCTCAATATATATATCTCACGGATCCATCGTGTTCTTGCCAACCAATCTAATACTTTATAATTAAATAAATATCTCTGATCCCGATCCTGCAAGTTTACCGATATATCCATTTGCCCGAATAAAATACAACACAAATTATTGGTATACTCATCCATGATACCTACTTGGCGTAGTGTTCCCAAAGTAGGAGTGGATGTCATTTGGTCGCCAAACTGTTTCAATAAGTCTTCCTTGAATTGATTCTAAGAAAGTGTAAGGCTGTGTTGTTGCAACCAACACATCCAATGAAAGGGAGGTCATTCACGTTAAGTTACATGGTTTTTCAACTTAAAGTTAATTGACGATAAGTAGATTAGCTCATGTTTTTTATATATTATTTAAGATCTTTTCAAACTACCGATGTGAGATATATTCCCTAATACACTCCCTTGAAATGATGGCTCTTAGTCTATCAATCTTGGTATGTTTGGGTTTGGATCAACGATATTTGAGCCTGGTCGATGATTGGACCAACTTTGGATTAGATTGTGTAGATCGGGTTCTGATAACATGTTAAATTATATGGATTTCCAATTTAAAATCAATTGACGATAAGTGGATTGACTTATATTCCTTATATATTATTTAAAATCCTTTTAACTACCGATATGGAATATATTTTCCAATACTTCCAGCACATTAAAACCGTAAAATGGTCAGTGGTCTCTGGATCACAAAGTATTGCTCAATACGAGCAATCCAGCCAATAGGATCAGTCCCATTAAAGTACTGAGATACGAGATTGCTTGATTATATTTTTTTCTTTGATATAGGAAAGCGTGGCCGATTTGTCTTGAGCTGGGAAACTAGACTAAACATAGCTGTGAATGCAGCACTAGGTACACACTAACTTTTTATTCATTATAAATTCAGAAAATTTATTAAGTTTTTTGTTTTTTTTTGTCACAACACAAAAAATTATGTAGTTCTTGATTGTGGTTTTCGGTAGTACTTTTCCTGGAATGGATCAGCAAGAAAACCATATGTTACAATATGATGCAATGGAGAGTAATCCTAGCACTTTTTAGGGGGATTATTGGAAAGTTGATTTATAAAAAATTCTAGAGTTTAAAATTATACTAGATTTTACCGCATGCATGCATACATACGAGAATTATTTTAATCAAAATTTATAATATAATTTATGTTTTCTTTATAGGTATATTTTTAATAAGTGAAAAATTTTCTTTTTATGTTTAGATATAATTTGTTTTTTATTTTTATTTTCTATTATTATTATGACCACGATCATAAAAACATAATTCTAATTCGATTATTCTATTAATAAAAAATAACCGTTATTACAAAAACATATTTCTATTTCATTCATTCTATTAATTCGAAAAGAACTGTGGTTATAAAACCATAATTCTAACTCGCAGAAGACCACAATTATAAAAATAACATAATCTGTTCTATCAAATTACTATATAATATTAATATTTATCTGTTTTTAATATGTAAAATTTTAGTTTGATTGATTAAAAAATATAATAAGGTATTCGTTAATCATATTTGTTATTCTAAAACTATTATTTAAAATTTAAATGTTAAATTAAATCTAACATATATTTAAGGAAGTCTAAAATAATTTATATTAATATTTATGTTTTAGAATTGAATTTAATTATAAAAATAATTAAATATAACCAATATTTAAGGAATAGATTGGCCAAAGTTCGTTATACTATTTAAATTTCGATCTCTACTTTGATAAGAGATTTTTAACAATATGGAATATGATATTTATATAATTAATTATTAGTACAATATGATTGTCATTTAGTTTTCATCTACTCAATTCTTTTTTGCTAATATCTTTCAGTACTGTAGGTATGCTGATGACGTCCGAGATCGTATTTGGTACCCGTACATTAACCCTTCATATACGTATATAACAACCAATCTCGACATAAACAATTCAAACGCATATGAGATACCAAAAACCGCACTCCGAAGTGCCGCCACGCCAAAGAACGCTAGTGAGCCGCTAATCATTTCTTGGTTATCGAAATACTCTAATCCTCAAGTGTACTTGTACATGCATTTCGCGGAGATCCAAGCCCTTGAAGCCAACGAGACAAGGGAATTTGACGTTATCTTGAAAAACTTTAACTATTCAAGTTTTAGTCCTACCAAGTTAAAGGTATCTACATTATTCACAGAAGTGCCAATGCAATGTTATTCAGGAATTTGCTCTATAAATCTAGTAAAAACTCCAAAGTCAACTCTTCCACCTCTGATCAATGCTTTCGAAGCTTACACAGTTAAAGAATTCTCTCAATTGGAAACAAGCCTAAGTGATGGTACTAACTTTCAAATTAAATATTACTCGAAAGTAACTTATATTCTGTCTTATGATATTGATTTTTACATTCTCTAACATTTGTGTCAGTTGACGCTATTAAAAATATCAAAGTTACTTATCGACTGAGTGAAATCAGTTGGCAAGGAGATCCATGTCTCCCTCAAGATTTGGCGTGGAAAAATCTTAGATGCACTTACATAGATACCGCTACTCCACCAAGAATCATTTTCTTGTAAGGCCATTCGCAAAACACATTCTCTACTTTAAAACTACTGTATCCAAATATATATTTAAGTGTTTTTGTGCTTTTCAAATTAGAAATTTGCCGGAAAGTGGATTAACTGGGAGGATAGCTCCAAGTATACAGAATCTCACACAATTACAAGAACTGTAAGTATTTCTATTGTTGAGTGATTAACCCAAAAATGATATGTTTAGCCACGACATGTAAGCCAATCATTTCTATTTACTCATGCAACTGCAGGGACTTATCGAATAACAATTTGACTGGACCAGTGCCTAGTTTTCTTGCCAGCATGAAATCTTTGTCCTTGATGTAAGCTTTCTAGAAATTAGAATGATGTTGAATTTGTGTCCATATATTTATATATGATTATGGTCATGTTCATGTCAACAGAAACTTAAGTGGGAACAATCTCAATGGATCAGTTCCTCAGGCTCTTCTTGATAGAGTAAAGGAAGGACTAGTGTTAAAGTAAGATTTTATTTTTTTTCCCATTCTTGATATCATTTTTTTTAGTTGTATAGAAATTGGGTAGATATGGCTCTTGTTCAGAAATTACAATGCCTAGAAAATACTTGGGATTTGAAGATAAGACATAGCAAGTACATATTAATACGATCTGTAGAAGAAGAGGAAACCATATTTTAGGACATACATGACTTTAGGTTATGTACTTCAATATATCTAACGTTCCTTATAGACTTGAAGGAAATCCAGATTTGTGCAAATCTAGTCTATGCAATCCAAAAGAGAAAAAGAATTTCTTGTTTCCGGCTATTGCATCAGCTGCCTCTCTGCTTGTTATAGTGATGGTCGTGGCTCTTATTTTTGTTTTCCGAAAGAAGAAGGTGCCTTCAGGTACTTCTCATAACCATATGATCATTAGAGAGAATTCATAAAATATATATTGCAAAACCAAACATTTTACTGTGTAGATGTACCTGCTCCACCAGGTATGCCCGTAGCAGATGTTGGGCACACTAGTCACTCAGAATCATCATTCCTATCGAAGAAGATAAGGTTCACTTATATTGAGGTTCAACAAATGACAAATAAATTTGAAAGAGCTCTCGGTGAAGGAGGCTTTGGAGTCGTTTATCACGGTTGTGTAAATGGTACACAGCAAGTAGCTGTTAAAGTTCTCTCCCAGTCATCATCACAAGGCTATAAGCATTTCAAAGCAGAGGTACTCTTTTGCTCGATGATTAAATTTATGTTTATATATCTCTTATTCTTACTATTACAAGAGTATTTAGCTGATGGATCGGTTGGTTAGGTGGAATTGCTTATGAGAGTGCACCATATAAATTTGGTGAGTCTTATTGGGTATTGTGATGAAGGAGACCACTTGGCCCTCATCTACGAGTACATGCCAAACGGAGACTTAAAGCAACATTTGTCAGGTGATAGAACATAACTAATTTCAGAAAAAAAATTGATACGATGACTTGAATTTTTTTTTTTTTTAATGAATGTAAAATTTATTCAGTCAAATCTGTTTTAATCTGGTGCTTCATTTTTTGAATTTAAAATAACCTGTTTACATTAGTTCCTAGTTCCAAACCAAAAGATGAGACCATTCCAGATCATGATGACTTGAATTTTACTTAAGACAACGATCGTATTTTGAGCAATTTGGGAATTTTGTCTGATTAATACAGGGGAGCGTGGTGTATTTGTTCTAAGCTGGGAAAATAGACTAAGAATAACTGTGGATGCAGCGTTAGGTATGCACAACGTCGTAGTTTTATTTGTAATCAATGTATCAAACCACTATTATTCATTTGCCAAGAAAATAAGGAATTTCGATATGTGATGAAGGGTTGGAGTACTTACACACAGGATGCATACCACCAATCGTTCATAGAGGTATCAAAACTACTAACATACTTTTGGACCAAAACTTCCAAGCCAAACTAGCCGATTTTGGGCTTTCAAGATCTTTTCCCACTGGAAATGAAACGTATGTGTCAACAGTTGTTGCTGGCACTCCTGGATACCTTGATCCCGAGTGAGTTCTATTTCACTTTACACAAATCACTGTCCCTTTTGATATTTGATAATCACAATCTCTCATTTTTGTATTTCATGTTATGCAGGTATTATCAAACAAATTGGTTGACAGAAAAGAGTGATATATACAGTTTCGGAATTGTATTATTGGAGATCATTACAAACCAACCCATAATTCAGCAATTCCGTGAGAACCCTCACTTGGTAGAGTGGATCAGCCATATGATAAGAAAAGGAGATATTAGAAACATTATGGATCCAAATCTCCACCAAAATTATGACATTGGTTCTGTCTGGAAGGCCATTGAAGTAGCAATGTCTTGTGTGAGTCCTTCTTCTGCAGGAAGACCAACCATGTCTCGAGTTGCCACTGACCTAAAAGAATGTCTGATATCCGAAATCTCGAGTGTAAGAGAGAATCTAGACATGGAATCAAAAAGTTCTATAAACTACAGCATGGACTTGTACACCGAGGTGATCCCTAAAGCTCGCTAGCTCACCAGATATATCCATGTGGGTTTTATTTTTGATGAATCTTATTTTCAAAAACTTTCTGTCAATGATTCCTAAGGATTTGACTCTTAACATGTGATATTGATGTTGAATTGTAATTGTTTGAGGAATATGTTGTGAAATTTGTTAAGGTTGTATTTGATAAATTTTATCCATGAGGTTTTCACAACATGATTATGTGGGTCTTCAATTTGAATAGTGACATAGTAACTGTTGGAGATCACTCTTTGATACACAAACTCACTCTTTGATTCACTCAGGTTTGATTTTCTTTAACTCTCATTCTCATTAATTAACTTCTTTTCATACATACTTCTCTTACATTTTTTTTATTCTTCCTCTCTAACATATATAGCAATGTCGATGCTTACTTCTCTCTTCCACTTACTATTCCTACACCTTAACTCTAGGACTTTAGACTCTCTTACACAAACCACACTACACTAATTATTACTCTTAACTACCCTTACAACTGTTACTTAGACTCTAACAACTCTTATAGCTTCTACTTGCTTCTTTTGCAGGTTTCTTAACAAGACATTATTTCTCCTGGCCTGGTAAAACCGCAGCCCATTATTTCTTCATAGACCCGCTGTAGACAGTAAGCCCATCTCCTCCTTTAGTTGACTTTTGCCTCTTGACCTTCTTCTTCTCTTTCTTCTTCACGACATTCTTCTCCTTCTCGACTTCTTCTAGCTTCTCATTGAGTTTGATTCTTGGTTTCTCTTTTCTTTTCAGACCCAATCAAAGGATCACTGCTCAACAGTAACGCAGTAGTAAAACTACTAGACTACATGTCCTAATTTGATGAACGTTGATTCGTGAAGAATGCCGTCAACAAGAATGAAATAACTGCTTTGATACTACTGATGGGTCCCTTCTCAAAACTAAGAGATTGTGAACATGATTATCGCTGATTTCCCTAGTGAGTTTCTTAGCATTATTTTAATAATTTGGGCTAAGAAATTTTTGTAAGAAACCCATTTTTTAAGTCAAATTGTAGAAACTCTATATGGGTTTCTTACAAATAAAAAAAAAGTGTATTTGTAGTAGATAACCTCATGACTGTTCATAATTTGCAAAATAGGATAAAGCACTATTACGTTTCTGTACACTTTTCAATATGGCATTATTACCCTTGATATTTTTTCTTGCAACTTCTTCTTCTTCATCCCTTATTTCTGTCGTTCATCTTTCTCTCTCTTCACAAATCTTTAATTTTTTCACAATCTTTCACTCAATCTCTTACACACACACTCACCAAAAACTGAAAATCAGCATTATTTATGTCAAAGAAATGAACACCAAATATATGAATGTGGATATGATACAAAAATATGTGGAAGTGCAAATTTGGGTGTGAATTTTCTGGAAATTTAGATCGATTTTGATATCGGCAACAATTATTCATATATTAGGTTTTTCTGGAGATTGAAGATGAAAGTTGATGATTCAAGATTTTATTTATCATGTGAAATATAAAGTTAGAGCTATATCTAAATGTTTAAATGGTTTAATAACATATAAACATTTAGAAGTAACATGTAAGTTAAACAGAAAATGATTAAGTTACCATGTTAAAACAAACGTTAGAGGTACAATACATAAATTAACATATAACAATCAGATATAACTTATAACAAAATCATTATATCTAGAAAAATGTTAATGTTCTGACGAAAAAGAATATAAGAGTTAACTGATATCAACGATGTTATCGTGTTAAGCTAAAATTTAGCAGTTAACCTACATATTTACATAATACAATAATTTTTAACATGTTACAATAACATGTAACTTGTTACAACTAAATTTTTCTTCGTTGTTAAATTAAAAAGAGAGGAAAGAGAGAGACGGAAAATAAGGGTTATATGGTAATTAACATTCCGACCTAACACTGTAGAAATAGATTTACGTTGTGTCATTCCTATACTTGATTATTACATTGTTATTTTCTAGCAAATTGACTCTAAAAAAAATAATTTAAGTTTTTTTAATTAAAATTAAAATAATTACTTGATTATTACATTGTTAACACAAAAATAACACAAATATACATTTGTTTTAAAAACTCAAATTTTGCAAGAAACTTAATTGTCAGCTTCATTACGTCCAAATTTTTGTCAGATATGCTCTATCAAATCAGTTTTCAATTGTTCATGTTGTTGTCTATCCCGAATTCTATTTCGAACACCCATCATATCAGCAATGTTTGAGGGCATATCTGTTGAATATGTGAGATCCATATTTGAACTCCTGTTTCTTTCTCCATGTTCGAAATCTGAAACATCAAAGTGTGTGTATCCTTCTCTTTTTTCTTCTACTATCATATTGTAGACTATGATACAAGCTTTTATAATATTTTTTATTTTGTTTAATCCTAAAAAAAGAGCAGGATTTTTAACAACGGCAAATCGAGCTTGTAAGACTCCAAAAGCACGTTCGATGTCTTTTCGGACACCTTCTTGACGTTCAGTAAATAAGCATGCTTTTGAACCTTGTGGAAGTGGTATAGATTGGAAAAAAGTTGTCCATTTTGGATAAATACCATCTGTGAGATAGTATGTTAAGTTATACTCCCTTATGTTGACAGAGAAATTTACTTTTGAAGCTTTACCTTGTATTATATCATCAAAAACGGGTGAGCGATCAGAACATATATTGATATCGTTTAAGGTACCTGGAGGTCCGAAAAATGTGTGCTATATCCACAAATCATATGAAGCTACCACATCTAAAACGATAGTGGGTTTTCCTGAACCACGTGAATATTCTCTTTCCAAGTGATTGGGCAATTCTTTCACTCCCAATGCATGCTTCTTACCATTTCGGGAAATCCCCGTAGCTCTCCAATATGAAGTAAGCGCTGAAGATCCTCTGGGGTAGGTTTTCTTAAATACTCATCACCGAACAAATCAATAATTCCTTCTACAAAATGTTCCAAAAATGCATGAGCCGTAGTTTCACCTAAACAGAGATATTCGTCAACCGCATCAGCCGCAGTGCCATATGTTATGAGACGAATGGCTGTTGTACACTTCTGAAGCAGAGAGAGACCAGGCCTTCCGAGAACATCTTTCTTTTGTCTAAAGTATCGAATTTCATTGGAAAGTTTTTCAACAATATGTAAGAACAAATGTTTGTTCATCTTAAAACGACGCCGGAAGAAATTAGCAGGATATATTGCAGTTTCACTGAAAAAATCGTTCCATAACAGATTGTAGCCTTCTTCGCGATCTCTTTTGATAAAAACCTGTTTTTTCTTGATTTGGTTGTCTTCTGATTAACTCAGTAATCATTGCAGAGATTCTCAAAAATTTGATCGAACATTTGATCAAACTGTTGATCAAAAACCTCATCAATTGATCCATCAAAAGAATTATTGGAAGAAGAAGCCATTAATTTTTTTGGAACTTGGTTTGGTAAAGTAAAAAAGAAGAAGCTTGTTTTGTTTTGTAATCAAAATAGAAGCTTGTTTTGATATCAAAGAAGAAATACAAAACAATGTTTGTTTTGGTAATCAAAGAGGAAGCTGATTTTGATATCAAAGAAGAAATACAAAACAATGTTTGTTTTGGTATCTAAGAAGAAGCTTGTTTGATATGAAAGAAGAAATAGAAAACAATAACTCATTTCTCAGTACATATAGACGAATGATACTTTACAAGTGGTGTGAATTATTAGATACAACTTGTGGTATCAAACATTAGATAAGAAATATGTGGTTTGAAATTATAAAAAACAAACGACAAGAAAAAAAAATAAAGACAAGTTACATCTTGTTGTGTCAAACATTACATCTCTATTGTTTTTTTTGTGCCCACCAAAAGCCATTAACCTTTGTTCTTTTATGCCGACAAAAGCTCTCACACACATATCCACTCTGAAACACAAAGAAAACACAAAAGTTAGTATCCATAAAACATGTGGAACATGGCATAGAGTATCAAGCGTATGAGTATAAACCGAGTATGACGCAATGATTATATGACTATCAACCGAGTATGAAAATGGTATATGTGTATCAACCGAGTATGAACCAAACCAATGAAAATTCATTTGATCATTGGAGACAAGTAAAGAGAAAAGCGAGTCATATCTAACTCATCCTAACTAACCGTGTCATATATTGGAAATCTTGACCTGTGAAATAGTTAAGGATAGCCGTTATAGAAACACAAATCTAAACAACAACAACTTAATCTAAAACATAACAGAAACATAACCTTAAACACAAACACACTACTTAATCCAACATTTCGGTTATGAGCTTCTTCTTTAGAGCTTCCTCATAGTCTTCAAGTGGCTCTTTTTTGGCTAAAAGACTTTCTAGTATAGCCATCTTTGACAGCTGTTTCTTCATTGTCAAGTCCTTCTCTTTGATTTGCCACATGGTCTCAAACTCAACCAAAGGAAACTTCGTCTCTACGCTACTCTTCTTGGCTTTGACTTTTGATGCCTTCACTCCTAGAGGTCTTTTGCTTCCATTTTCTTCCTCACAAGTCTTCGCTTCATCAGCCATGGAGCTTGTCGATTGTGAACCATCTTCTTCGTTTTGAGTTTCCTTCTGTTTTACTTGTTGAAATATCACACCACTTCTGATCATTCTTGAGCTCTTTCCAAGCATGTTCTAGATTGAACTTCTTCTTGTACGAGTTGTAGAATATTTCATGTGCCAGCTTTAAAATGTCATTCTCATTCATTCCACTCGTTCTCTCTCTACTTGCAGCTTCGTATGCTCCACAAAATTTGCAGACTAGGTCGTTTATTTTATGACATCTCTGCTTGCACTGTATCGTCACAATGTTCTCACGACCAGAAGCCTTTGGAGAAGCAGAAAAATATGCAGCTATGCGCTTCCAAAAGGTACCTGATTTCTGCTCATTTCCCACCACTGGGTCCTTTGAAGTGTTTAACCATGAGCTGATGAGCAACACATCATCACTCGGGCTCCATTGTCTTTTTTTTTCTTTTCCTTTTCTGGTGATGCTTCACCGAAGCTTGCAGCATAAGCAGGACTGTCTTCAACAAAACTTGAGGCATAACCGCAGAAGACAGAGTCTTGTTGACTGTTTAACAGATCAACAAAGGTGGAAGTCGTGAAAGTTGGATTCATAGATGAGAAAGCCATATGGGAGAATGAAAAGATAAAGAGAAGAAGGATCAAGGCACAAGAGAAGATGTTTAAGTAGATGTTAATGAGAAGAAGCAAAGAGAAGATGAACAAAGAGATAAAGAAGGAGAGGAAGTACGAGAAAAAGAAGAACAAAGAGATGCAGAAGGATGGAAGTACGAGAAGAAGAATCAAAGAGAAGATGTTTAAGTAGATGTTAAAGAGAAGAAGTTAAAGAGAAGAGGAAGCAAAGAGAAGATGAACAAAGAGATGAAGAAGGAGAGGAAGTACGAGAAGAAGAAGCAAAGAGAATAAACAAAAAGAAGATGTTAAAGAGAAGATGTTACAAGGAGAAGAAGCACCGCATTTAAAACAAGAAAACAAACCAACATTGAAGTAGAAAATCAAATGAACATTGAAGAAGAAAAAGCAAAAAAGTTTTCCAGCATTCAACCATATTGACTAGATATATATCTAACACTATTAGAGCATTCATCAACAAGTCCATTTATTACCTAAACCTAAACCATTATCTACACTAACTAGGCATTTATTATCATCTCACTGATTTGAAGACATACCTTAACAGCTTCCTAAAAGCCTTGACCAACAGCTGGATGTGAAGAGGAAGAGAACCATTGTTAATAGATGAATCTGCAAAAAGATAGACACAATATTAGACACAATCGAACATGACCCTTTTATGTTTCATGATCATCAATTTTTAACACAATATCATTCAGAAAAAAATCAATGATTCATCGATCCCTAAATTAGTTCAGGACATATATAGAAACTAAATCCAAATTTGAGAAATTCCAGAAGAGATCATGATAATGGTCGATGGAGATATACAACCTAAATTCTCGATCCCTAAACTATTTCAGTTGCTCCGACTAAGCAAATCCAGGAGACAAAAAGAATCAAAATCAAAAACCAAACCCGCAAAAGACAGAAGAGAAAATGCTTATCTCTGATATATATGGAGGAATCGCGGCAGTATCCGCGTATCGGCAGGAGGAGACTTCGAAAACGCCGGAGAAGGCGACAGAGAATACGAGTCGTCGTTGAAATGAAAAAAAATGTGTCGGCGATATGGTCGAGGCTGTTTCAGATTTAGCCGAGAAAATAATCGACGACAGAACACAATTTAGCCGAGAAACATTTCGATCCAGAAATTTTTTTCGCTAGAGTTTTTTAAGCCAATGAGGTGGTGACACCTGCGTCATAAGAAATTATCCTTAAATGCCAAACAAGAAACGATCTTTAAGTGTTTTGATATTTTTCTATTTATCATCATATATATTATAAACGAAGTAATTTTTAATTTTGGAAGTTTCTCATTGATTCTTAGCATGGTTAATTATTTTTTTGTCCCTTATATACAAGTCTTTAATACCCTTATATTTGGTTTAAATTAAGTTTAATTACAGTTACATAATCCTATATATTAAATGAGAATGTAATTTAATGAAAAAATCCGATTTGTTTTAATTTGATTGGCTTAGAAAACCTCCCTTGCTAGCGTCAATGATGACGTTTATTCCACGTCAAATGTGACATGGCAAGGTCGCTAGCTCTGCGCAATTTCATTGGATGTTGATGTTGATGTGTAAATTCTGTCCAAATATTTTTTGATATAAAATAATTAAGAAGCGAGAAAATCACAAACGGATAAACACACAGCTTTATACCCGACCCGGCCCAATTATCTGTTTTTAAAAACATTATTTTGGCCCTATACTTCGTAGAAGCCCATTTTTCATTTTAAAATATTCTCTTTTAAATCTATTTCTCGCTTATATAGAATATTTCGATATTAAATTCAATTTATTCATGAAGATTTCGTATCTAAATTATCGCTCATCTATGGCAATTCTTTTCATTTGAATATTTGAATTTAAAAACATTTCCTGAACTATAGCTATTTCTCCCAACTACAATACGAATATTCTTTAATTTGAATTTCATAGTTTAGGGTTTATTCACCTCAATTGTTTTCCATATATATACCATCATACTAAAAGGCCGAAACGATACTATCATCTTCTCAAAATGTCTATAGTACGCCTATATGGAGCACCTAATGTTCCTTTTGCTAAATTAGATCCTACTACCATTCAGCAAGTTAGGGCTAAGATATGTTACATCTGGAAAGTGATTAACAAACATTCACGTTTTAGAGTCGAAATGATTTTAATTGATGAGGAGGTATGTCATTTATTAACTCTTACGTTTTTATTCCATCTTCATTTTATATTGATTATACAAAGTGATAAAAACTTCGACATAACAGGGATCAAGGATTCACGCTGCCAGCGATGAAGAAATGTTTGAAAAACACAAGGGCCTTCTTATTGAAGGCAAAACTATTTCTATTACTTGCTTTTTATTAAGAGAGTACCACGGTGTTTTTAGGGCTACTTCTTTGCCATTGAAGATTTATTTCTGCCGGACAACCGTTGCGTATGAGATTTATGATTTTCTAGAAATAGTGCATGAAAAATATTTGACTGATTTCAAGCGTATCAAGGACGGCAAGGTGGACAGAAATCTTCTTTTCGGTATGTTTTTTTTATTGTTTAATTATATGAAACGTAATACGCTTAATTTTATTATTAATTTCTTGATGCTGTTATTGAAGATGTTATTGGACAAATTGTGACGGTGGGGAGTATTGAATTTGTTCAAATTAAAAGCAAAAGAATCGGCAAATTGTGGATTACACTACGTGATACCAAGTAAGTGTTGATATTTTTCGTATATTTTTAAAATATTTTTAAAATGCGTCTCTGATCTGTACTCAATCCTCAAGCGATGTTCACCTTAAATGTACTCTATGGGGAGAATATGCATTGATGACCGTTGAGTACATTAAACAACATCTGGAATCTGTCGTGGTCTGTCTGATGCGCTTTGTCCGTATTCAAGAGTTCAAACGTGAGTTCTCAATATATTATAGTCCACATAGTTGTCATGTAACTGTTAACAAGTTATGCGAAATCTTGAAATTTTCTTATGTTTTTGTAGGTGTTATTTCAATATCCAACTCTTTCAACTCCACTAAAATTATGTTTGATACTGACAACAAGATCGTCAAAGACTTCAAAGATAGGTATGTTGTCGGTAATATATACACTTATCATATCAGGGTTATTCGGATTTAACCATTACTGAGTGGGATCCTAGATCAGAGGTAATATGTCCTCCGTAATTGTATGTAGTAATATACGTCATGTTTTACAGCAATTTTGAAGTTCTGCAAAAATTTAAATTGTTTTTCAATTAATCTTTGATGCTTTCAGGACATTTATAATACTTCCTTTGGATCGTCACATCATGCAAACAATCAGATGAATAGTAACAGCATTAGTGAAGACCCCTCCGCGAAATCCATGAGTAACAAGCGTCCTAGGAAGTATTTTATTACAACTTTAAAAATCCTGGAAGATCGAACAATTTAGGGTTTAGGTGTTGTATTTTTTCAGTAATATCTTATTATCTTTTTAATGATGTTCTTGAATATTTTGTATTCCTGCTTCAAATAATTATCTTTTAGATGTTTTCATCTACATGATGTTCAAAGTTGCAATTCTTCATGATAATCCCTTTTTATTGTCAATACGAACCTAACAACCAAATGTTGATTTTGAATCAACGACACATTTACAACGACTCGCATAGCTGTTTATATTAAATGTAAATTTATAAGGTTGGTAATTATTTGAGAAAATAATGTCAAATGGAGAATTGAATCTATTTAATATTTTACACTTTTTATTTAATGTCAAACTTTTTGTTTAATCTGGCTCAATCATATTCATCAATATATTTGAAAATGGAAATATGTGTATTCTATAAAGATACATACGGCTGTATCAGATATCACATATTATTAGCATTTAAGTTTCGATAGCAAAATGGAGATAACAATAAATTTTTCAATTTAATGACTTGAATAGTGGAATATACATTTATTCCAAAATTCTCAGAATATTTTATTATAGTTCATAAAAGGAAGGTAGATCCGTTATGAAAAATTAAATAAATTTAAACAACCGCAATTTGAATTGACAATACATAATCTTAGGAAACCAATTAATTTAAACAAGATCTTTCTATTGAAAAAGAATTACATAGATTTTTAATCGACTATTTTGAAATTTGAAACAGTCATACACAGGTCAAGTTAAAAAATGACTTCTGAGGATAACTCATCTAACAAGGAGAACTCACCTTATCGAGGACCACGTATATTGCTAGAAACGGAGATAGTTCAGTTTATGTAATTATTTACTTCATCTATTATATTGTTCTTGTCAGGGAATTTATGTCAGTTATTAATGAAATTTTTTATTTAGTATGTAAAACCATTAATTTTCTGTTGTCAGATGGGTATGAATATTATGGTTGACTTATTTTCTGACCCATATGTTAAAGCAACAAATATAATTTAATTATTATGTCAATCTCTAATTGATCTGTATTCTTTATGATTCTATTTTCTTTGTCGTGTTACATTTACCTTATTTATTATGTATACTTGAACTCTATAACTGAAGAACAAATGACAATAAGTATATATGTATTGATCATCCCTTTATTTTGTTTCCCATTAAAAATGTTCAAGGGTTGGAATCGTGTAAACAAGACTAATAACAGTATATTTTGCAGTGAGAAGTTTATATAAATTCCATCTATTTTGGTAATATTAAATATGATAAACTGATTTTGTTTAAATATATTTGGAAACTCATAATTCTGATTTCTTTTCTCAAATACTGGGAGTTCTTGAGTTGACATATATCTCCTCTATTAGATACTGCACCGTAAAACTTTATTCTCATTTATATGACTTACCTCTTTGCTTTTCCAATCAGCATTTATTTCTCACTTACCCAACTAACGCAACAGTTATTTACCTTTTACTAATTACCAAAAATCACAATCTTTCAAATTAACAACTCTAAGTTTATTCCACTCTTTCTATCCAAAACTCAGAGATCTCCTCCTTTTGTCGATCACAAAACTACACAGCAACAACTGCTAAAGAAATCACTGTTTCAAAAATTTTGATGGCAAACTTTCTCAAACTTGATAAACTTTCCCTCAATGCTCCTCACCCAACGATAATCGTTAAAGTTATTCGACGATGGCAGGAATTCAATGTCAACAAGGCGATTTGAAACACACTTGATTCTTGGCGATGAGAATGTAAGTGTAGTTTACCATAACTTTTATTAATACAAATTACTTTAGTCAATCTAGGATTTTTATTTATAAATTATGTTATCGTTGGTATATATTGTTAGGGTTATAAGGTTGAGGCGGCCATCGATTTGGATCTCATGCCCGTCCTCACACAAAAGTTTAAAAAAGAAGAGTGGAATGCGGTTTCCTTATTTCAAATCGTCCATGCTTCTGGCTCATTCAGGAATACTATCAACAACAATTTCATCATCATGCATGAACACACCGTTGTAACCAAAATCTCTGCCCGCAACCCTAAGCATATGATGGATTTCATCCCCTTCGAAAATATCATCAACCAGAAGATATGCTCTCAGTATTCTGTCGGTTTGTATTCTGAACCATCATGATTTGTTAGAGGATAATGTTATCCTGTATAGTTTATTTAATAGAGCGTATTATCGCAGACTTGATAGGTGTTACTATCTTTGTTGGTGACTTGAAGAGTTTAGAAAATGATCATGATGCTTTGGTACATGGACCATGGAGCAATTTGGAAATTGAAATAAGGGACATGAAGTAAGTAGTTAAGTTATTAGCAATATGACATAATAAGAATATCAGTCACTGATGATATGTATATTTGATTTTCAAACAGCTTCAGGGAACTTACAGTTGAGCTGACTGGAAAAACAGCAGTGGAGTTTTGGAGAAAGTGGGAAGAAATTAGAACATATGAAACGGTGTTGACTTTTAGGATGTTTCGCGTTTTCTATTATTCTCAAGGTTATTCGTATTTACTTTGCTGAATTAACATCTACTACTATGATACCTAATGTTTTAATGATCCTCATATGAAAAAATGATTAATATATAGGATTATATTTTGTTATAGGCGGCTTCTTCATCAGAAATGCTGGTGACCAATCTGAAGTACTTTTTTAATCCACATATT